AAAACATGGAGCTAAACAAAAAATTATGGAGCTCTATTTCTATTTGATAGCTTACCACCTAAAGCCGTCAACATAAAAAAAAAAGTAAAAAACAGATAATTCTTGAGCTTATATGACAAAAAAGCCAGCTTCTTGTTCCATAAAAAACTCAATCTTTAACACCCTCAAAGATGAGCAAAATAGGAAGCAAAATGGACTACATCATAAACAGCCTTCTAACCCTCCTTGTGCCAGTCTCGTTGATCAGCTCACTAGGCTTTGCCTTGGAAACGAAATTTCACATGTCAGACTGGTGGTACTTACAACCAATTTCCTGATCAGTCCTATAACGCAAGCAATCCCGCCATTACTGGAATGGTCCATTTGGTCACAGCTCTTTTGCTTTATGGCTACTTGAAAACTCTCACTGTATGTTTCAATCGAGGTGGTAAAGGTTTTGCAAGCAACTTTTATTAACCAAGGCAGACACATGTGTGATGATGAAAGTGGAATTCCTGCTAATGCACGTACATCAAATTTGAACGAAGAGCTTGGCCAAGTAGATTACCAACCTTTCTGATAAAACGGTAACTTTGACATGCAATCAGATGGATTTTCTCAAGTGTTCCATTGCTGGTACTTCGTACGGTGTGCGCTCTAGTGAAGTTGAAACGGCTGCAGCAAAACAAATGCCTGTTGACCTTGAGGAGCAGGGTTCAGCAATATCTGTTGTTTCCAAGGGATAAAACCAAAGTGCTAGGTTCATGGGAGAGCAACAAAAGAGAATCAGAAATTGAATTGGAGACTGTTGTGTCTTCTAAAGATGAAAAGGATCAAAAGGTTCCCATCAAGGGGTTTAGCTTTGAGGATGGCCGTCTCCTAAATGGAAATTGGTTGAATGAATAGAACGTAGGTGTCCTTATGTTGTTTTCCGGTTACTATCTGTTTGTCACACTGCCATTCCTGAGCTGAACGAAGAGACTGGCATTTATACATATGAAGCAAAGTCACCTGATGAAGCAGCATTCCTTGTTGCAGCAAGAGAATTTGGTTTTGAGTTTTGTAAGAGAACTCAATCTAGTGTGTTTATTCATGAAAAATATTCTTCTTCGGGACAACCAATTGAAAGATAAGCAACCCAAATGAGTTAGCCAAGATTTTGTATATGGTTACTATTAATTTCCCTCAAACTCGGGGTTTTTCTGCCATCTTGATTATCATTTTCAAAATTCTAAATATGTTTGGATTTCACTAGAAAAAGAAAACGAATGTCTGTTATTGTGCGTGATGAGGAAGGTCAGATTCTCCTTCTGTGTAAAGGTGCTGACAGGTTAGCCTCCCAATTTCCCTTTTTAAATTTAACTTATCTATAACAATTATTAGTGGCTACATACACGAAAATCCACTTAGCAACTTCCTTAAATGTGAGGTGGGAGTTGCATATCTATTTTAGATTTCTAGGATCAAACAGCATATCATAACCTACCCAATTTGATGGCTTAAGCATTTCCATATGGCATACATGTTTGGTTTTGGATTTCCTCCCATGCGAAAAAAATTTAAATACTTTTTTAGTCTATTTATTATTAGGATTTTTTTTTAAATATAATACTTTAATCTTAAAAAATAATATAAAGATAAATTTTCAGCCACCAAAATAAAAAGCGAACAAAATAAAAATTTTTACTGAAAAATAATATTCAACATGTTTTATTTTTTTTTTTTACGATCAAATGGTAATATTAGCTCTGATCAAGTTGAAATTTGGTGATATTTAGAAGACTCATTGTTCTTCATTCTAAACGGTGGAGATTGATTTTTGACGGTTGGATTTTCGGTACTTTCAATTCGAAGTTACTGTTCACGTTTTTCTTTTTTGCACTGATCAATTTGACTTTCTCTGACTATCGAACGGGCATTTGTGGTCTGATGAGGCTGAAATTTGGTGAACATGTTCAGAATAAGTTTTTCTTTAATATGAACGGTGGAGATCGGATTTGAACAATCAGAACGCATCTGTTTCGCATGAATAATAGATACTTTGATTATATTTCTCAATTCCCTTATTTATTTCTTATTATTTGTTTGATTTGTTGTTGAATATTAATTTAAGAATTATAGTGGTTTTTTAATATTACTGTAAAAATTAATTTTTATAGTGAAGTTCTTTTTTACTTGAACCAGAAGAGATCCCGTAGTTTTTATCTTTCACATTAAAAGGGTTTTTCACGTTAAAAATTTTGATATCTTTATGTGATTAATCTTTAAATATCTTGGGACAGATTTCATCATATTTATTTTTGTTGAATTTTTAGTTAGCTTTCTGTTTGTAGATTCATTCAAGTGCTACATTGTTCCTTTGCTTAAATATTTGCAGCATCATTTTTGGCTGTCAAAGAATGGAAGAATTTATGAGGAAGCTACCAGTAAGCATTTAGATGAATATGGAGAGCCTGGGTTACGCACGTTGGCCCTTGCATAGAAAAAGCTTGATGAGTCTGAGTATTCTGCATGGAATAATGAATTCCTCAAAGCAAAAACTTCTACTGGGGCTGATAGAGATGCGATGCTTGAGCGGGTATCAGATATGATGGTAAAAAGATTTGATCCTTGTTGGCGCCACTGCTGTGGAGGACAAATTGCAAAAAGGAGTATGCATTATCATTGCTCTAGATAAATAGCTAGATTTGTCCTCTTGATTTACCTCAGCTTAAGTACTTTCTCTTTTATATCGGTGCCTCAGTGCACAGATAAACTTGCGCAGGCTGGTCTCAAGATCTGGGTTTTGATGGGGGCTAAAATGGAAACTGCAATCAACATAAGGTTTGTCCATATAACTTACGTTAATAAGTTGACATCAAAAAAGGGGCATTTCCTGGAAGTTTCTCAATCCAACTAAGTCAATGGAAACATTTTTTTGCATATTGCAGATTTGCATGTTGTTTGTTACGACAAGGCATGAAGCAGATCTGTATAACAGCAATGAATTCGGAATCAGCAAACCAAGATTATATTACTTATAAATATTTTTCCAGTACTTCATGGCCTGATGCCTCCCAGTATTTCAGGAATGTTCACGAACTCCTTGATGAAGCTCTTGCATCTGGACCCCTTCACTGGATAGCCATGTTCTTAGTAGTAGTTGCTTGTAAGCTCCCCTTGTTTCGCACATATATCTATTCAAAGAACTTTAAATCCCTTGGATCATCATATCATCCAAGAAATATGGTACTACAGAAAAGACGTGGAGGACGAGCGCATGTGGACCCGCGAGAGGTCCAAAGCAAGACAAGAAACCAAGATTGGATTCACAGCAAGAGTAGATGCAAAAATCAGGCAGTTGAGAGGGAAGCTGCAGAAGAAGCAGTCGACCTTGGATGTACAACATGTGATGCCCCCATCATCATGATGTCCATGAGTATCGGGGATTGGCATCAAGATTTGTTTTGGTTTTCGGCCGTTTGCAGTTCAACAAGAAGGCATTCTTCTGATTCATTTTTGGAGATGATTTATATCCAGTAAAGTTGGGGTGGTTCAGATCCCGTTCCTGGGGAGCTGTTGTTTGTACACTATTTAAAGGAGTCGAGAGTTAAGGAGGTTGTTTGAAGATTTGGTGTCAGCATCTGCTTTTCGTGTTCTTGGCTCTTTACATGTGTATTTGACTGATGAAACATTTAGATGTATAGTAATAGTAATGCAGGACACAAAAGCGAGTAGAAATGTCTCTTGGCAGCCTATTCTTAATACATTTTGCGAGTGGTTATAAGAAATTTTGTTAAGATCAGATCAGCTCCTTAAGGCATACAAAACGTTGCTCACCGTGTAAAGAAAGCCAGATTTTCTTCCTAAATTTTTGAGGGGAGACGTGCAAACGCAGTGTCTCCTAATGTGAAGGTGAATCAGATGAAGAAGATGACAAGAGTTGTAATTTGAATCTTCTTTCGGTGCATGTCTTCACCATTAAAGATTTATTATTATTATTCTTGAATGATCTTGTGATTCTTTTTATTAATAATCGTACCTGAACTTTTAAATATTTTAAATTTATTTAGATATTATCGATCACATATATTTTTAAAAAAATTAATCTCTTAAACATATAAAATTAATATAATAAAAATAAAATAATAATAATAATAATATATAATTTTATATAATTTAATAGTGTATCTATATTTACAAATAAAATTAATAAAAAAATATTTTATTATGATTAAAAAAAGTATAATACTTATAAATTAAAAAATTTATATATAAAAAAGATTTAAGACTTTTTTTATATATTTAAAATACACATAATATTAATATTTAAGGTAGATATAAAAATATTTTAATGATTAAAATTATCAAAATTTAAATTGTATCAACAATATATCTAATTTTTTAATAATTAATTTACAAAAAAATTGTGTGTATATACACGTATGTATTCTTTATTATCTATAAAAGAGGAGCTGATTAATTTTGTATTTCTTGAAAAATAAGAGTTAACTTTTTTATTAAGTGAAGTGAAAAAATTATTATTATTATTATTTAAGATTAATTATAAAGCGTGGATAAAATATAAAAAGCAAATTTAAGTCTCTAGAAATTTTTTTTAAAAAAAAATTTATTTAGAATGAATTGTTATTATAAAAGTTACTTAGGATTTTCCAATTTGTATTGAAACATGCAAAATAAAATATAAAAGAATTAAAATAATATATTTTTGAAGAGTAATAAAAATTTAAAAATAAATTAAGATGTTTTTAAGAGAGAAATAAATCCATTTACGTAATCTTTTATCTTCACGAAATCATTTAGGTTATCTTTATCAACTAAATTTTTTAAAATATAAATAAAAAGTTATTTATTTATTCTAAATACACCGTCAGCCGATTATGTCACAAATAATAATTTTTTTATACAATATTACTTATTTATATAATTTATAATTATTATTTACTATTTACTAAATAATAAGACTTTCTCCCTACCCTCCTCTTCCTTCTCTCCCCCTCTCCCCCTCGCTCTTTATTTCTTGTAAAGTCACCCGTCGGGTCAATCTTGACCGTTGAGTTCATTTTCTTCCTGTCCCGAAAGAACAAAGTTTTTTTTTTTTTTGTCTTTTGTTTTCTTTCGGCGGCAAGGGGGAGAATTTTCGTGGGTAATTTAGAGCTTAGGGATTTCATGGAGCCGCGAGTTGGAAACAAGTTTAAACTCGGCCGAAAGATCGGTAGCGGATCATTTGGAGAGATCTATCTTGGTTTGTTCCTTTGCTTGATGGCTTTTTTTTCCCCCCCTCTATTTCCAGCTGTTAATTGTTTTTTACATTAATTTGTGTATGTTTTGATTGACAATTAGGCACTAATATTCAGACAAACGAGGAGGTTGCGATTAAGCTGGTGAGTATATATAATTTATTATTCGATTACTCACTTTTGGAATATCAGTTCTCTAGGTCCTATTTGAATTTTGTGGGAATAGTGGGTTTATTTGCTTCAATTGGATCTTATAGTTATCAATTAATCTTCTGGCGACTGTTAATTCTGTAGTTACAAATTGTTGGGGGCTGAATGATGATCAATGCTCAATTCCGACTTAAGTATAGGGTAGAGGGTTTATTTTTCTGGAAGAAAGGGTATTGTCCTATTGCGGTAGTTCATATATATTTGGAGCAGTTTGGGCTTCTTTAGGCATTCTATCTGTACTAATTTGGGTTGTACTCATTCATTAACCATTTCAGTGTTGGGTAAGCTGCTTCTTCTGTCTCTTCTGTCAGTGAAAATTGGACCTTAAAGTCCTTAACTAATTGTCTTCAAGTCTTATATCTGCTTATATTCTATAGTTGCCTTTTTCGCTATACTGGAGACAGCAATTGCACCTTCTTCTTCCTTTCTTTCTTTTTTTTTTTTGGCTGTAGTTAGGCTGTAATTCCATTATAGATATATAATTGTCCCTGCATTATCGAGTATGAACTTGCTTTATTGCTTGACTATCCTCCTTTTTTTAAGAAAAAAGTATGTATATTCGAATGCACTAAGGTGATGTAAGCTATGTAAACAAGAATTTATAGGTCTAGCCAAACATCAATAAGATCTCCTAAATTGTCGCTAGAGTAAAGCAGTTGATTTTTAATGGGAAAACTCAAGGACTGAAAGCATGAATCTTTAAATATATTGAAATTAGAAGTTTTACCTCAAAAACCATTATATTTTTCTCTTTGCAAATGACCCAAAAGGTAGTTAGAGGGATAAGCTTATCAGATTGTGTGTCACTCTGAACGCCTTTCCAAGCCCAGAGTTTTCCTCTCGCTGTGGCTGCCACTACCCAGCTCTGTGTGGGGAAGCTGTACACCAAGGACCTAAGGCATTGAGCAAAGGGACACCATTGTAGGATGTGATTCAAAACTTCCCCTAATCATATACTATAGAAATAATATGGACATTCAACTGAAACAAAAATATATGCATTGCATCAAACAATTGTCTGCTTATTATGTTGACTGAGAAAAAAAATTTTTGAAGTGAAAAGTAGTAGAGGATATTTCTTATTTGAAGCTAGTAGCTATTAGCCCCATTCGTGCAAAGGTAGTAGCTATTAGCCAGAACTTACCACTTCAGATCAATTTATCTAAGGTGAGGATTTGCTCCAAGACTACTTCTCAAACAAAGAAGCAACTCTGGGAGTGACCTTCACCTTCCACACCATCCTCCAAGGGATTTCTCATACAAACCCTCCCTCTTGGTGAAAAAAGAAAAAGAAATAGACCTTGACTGAGAAGTGTCTTTTCAAATTTAATCTCCAGACAGGTTTATCCTCCTTCCCCATAGAAATTGTGGCTTTTGAAAGGGAATTAAAAAGTCTAAGATAATTATCAACCTCCCAATCATTAATGTTTCTCAATAGGTCAATAATCCATAAACCATTTCCAAGGTACAAATTCTTATAGAAATATCCTTATAAAAGGCTAAATCTAGATCAACAGGAACTGCATGCACAGGGTCCCCTTCCAACCAGTCATCCTTCCAAAAACTCACCCTTCCATTTAATCCAATACACCACCAAATACATTTTAGAAAATCATTCTTGCTCATGTTAATTTTATTTTACAACCATAAGTCTACTTGGGATTCTTGGCACGCCAACCATGTGCCTCCGACCCAAACTTTGCTTGTACCACCTTCCTCCAAAATTTCTCCCTTTCCTTCATGAACCTCCAGAGTCATTTTATCTGCAGAGCCAAATGAAACTCAACCAAAGATCTCACTCCTAGACCACCTTTTTGAGGCAGGAGTTTTGCCACATCTCAAGCCACAAGATGATCTTATGCTTTCTCCATGTCAAACTTAGATAACACACCTTTGCTCACTTCTTTCAAAATATTATCGACAACCTCATTGGCAATAAGTGCAGCATCAAGAATCTGTCTCCCCTCCTTCCCTTCCCCCCGCCCCGCCCCAAACAAACATATGTTGCCATTCTCCTCCTATAGCACCCACCACCTTTGCTCATCTTCTTGGCAAGACACTAGAAAGAATTTTGTAAATGCGACTCACTAAACTAATAGCCCCAAAGTCTCTAATACGAGTAACAACTTAGATCTTTAGGATGAAAACCAAGAAGGTTGAATTCAACCTCATCAAAAAGGAACTTGAGCATAGAATTCCATGAACAAAGCCATGAGTTTGCTCTTTAAAGCTCTCAATACTCTGATAGAACTTCATGTTGAACTCATCTGGACCTCAGGCTTTGTTTCCGTTACAGCTCATAGTGCCTTCATAGACTTCCTCTCCAGAAAATGTCTGCTTAAGATACATGTGATCCCACTCACTCAGCCTACTAAAACTGAGGTCACGTAAGGTCAGTTTCTGCCTCACATCTTCGTTCTATAACATCTTGAAAAAAGACTAGACATTCTCCCTGAAATTATCATTCCCTTTAATCACCCTTCTCCCTACCTCCAACTTCTTAATGTATTTGCACCTTCTATGATGGTTTGCAACAGTCTTTATTTTAAATCTCTAAACATGAGTTGTTATGGTAAATTAATAGCAGGAAATGAGAACCTAATCTAAAGCAAGTATTTATTGACTGCAGTTACTTATTTAGATGTTGGTACTTCAATCAGAATGCTCTTTGGTTAGTGGATGTGGTCAAATGTGTTTCTTGTTTGGGATGTGGATAGAAGGGAATTTTCTTATGTTCATACTAAATGAATGATCATGATTCATAAATTCTTATACTTTTTTTTCTCCATGCAATTGTCTTAAGCAAATATGTTCTTTTTTTTTTTAAATAACTTAAGCAAATATGTTCTTATAATGCTTTAATGTTTGCTTTGCTCAGGAAAATGTCAAAACAAAGCATCCCCAACTGCTGTATGAATCAAAGCTGTACAAAATACTGCAGGGTGGAAGTAATCATCTTTTTTATCCCTTTTTCTAGCCGACCTCTCCCACTTCCCTCTCAACCATTCCCTTTCCATTCATGTCAGCATTTCGTATTTAGGTTATTATATTGGCAGTAGCGTCTCTACCCATGATAAACTAAATTATTCTTGCCCCCAAATTTTGGTGTAGGACACACACAATAAAAAATAACCTTATTTTTTTAATGTATTTGTGATTTGCTATTCTTTTCATGCCAGCTGGAATTCCAAATGTGAGATGGTTTGGTGTTGAAGGAGACTATAATGTTCTTGTGATGGATTTATTGGGGCCAAGTCTTGAAGATTTATTCAACTTCTGCAGTAGGAAACTATCCCTTAAGACTGTTCTTATGCTTGCAGATCAAATGGTAGGATTATTTCTTTTCTTGCATGAATGGTAGTCTGGCATATTATTTACATGCCTACTTCACAACTTTCTGGTGCTTTATGTCAGATCAACCGAGTTGAATTTGTTCACTCCAAGTCATTTCTACATCGAGACATCAAGCCGGATAACTTTCTTATGGGCTTAGGGAGGCGTGCCAACCAGGTCTTATTTGAAGCTATTTTTATTCATGGTTTCTGTTTCTTGTTCTTTCTGTATTAATCGCTTAACATATCTTATAGGTATATGCTATTGACTTTGGTCTGGCAAAGAAGTACAGGGACACCTCAACCCATCAGCATATTCCTTATAGGTTAGTATTTTAAGACCATTTTGTGGATGGGTTTATTTCTTCGTACAGTTGAAGGGTTCGTGCTTTGCTCTTGGGTTATATTGGGCAGTTACATCTGAACTCCTCTCAGCATGCTATATCCATTTGTGTTTGGATTTAGTTTTCTTTATTTTTGTATTAATAGTAGTAGGTTTCTATGCATTTTATCCTGTAAACGAAGCTTGTATTTTGTGGTTGTGATTTGTTAATTTTGATATTCTCAATTGATTTCATGTAAACTTTCAAGTCTACTTACATTGGTTTAACATATTCCTCTTTATGTAAAACTGATATGCTTTGTTGCAGAGAGAATAAGAACTTGACGGGAACTGCAAGATATGCTAGCATGAATACTCATCTGGGCATTGGTACGCTATTGATCCTATTCTGGTTGTCCACCTTGATCTCTATGATTTTGATTTTGAATTACTCTAAATCTTGAATTTTATGTTATAGAACAAAGCCGAAGGGATGATTTAGAGTCTCTTGGATATGTTCTTATGTATTTCTTACGAGGAAGGTGAATGTTCCTAAACAGATACTATTTCAAATGTTCTTATTTCATATAGTTTGTCTTATTATGACCTTGTGTCTTTCTAGTCTTCCTTGGCAAGGATTGAAAGCGGGAACCAAAAAGCAGAAGTATGAGAAGATCAGTGAAAAGAAAGTTTCTACTTCTATTGAGGTAAATTCATGCCTGGAGATTTTATGGTTTAATTCAATATTTGGTCTTTTACCTTTGATTCTTAAATTGGTCTATGAATTTTTAAATCTTAAAATTTAAGTACTAAATTTTTATTTTTGTTCCAATTAAGTCCTTCCATCTACATGATCTGTTAAATTTTAAAAATATTATCACATTACCACCATCTCATGAAAATTATGTTGGGCCAGCAATGTGGCAATATTACCTAGCAAAAAACACAGACCAGACCTGATGCCTTTTCTTCTCACTTCCTCTCTTATCACTGTGATGACATGTTGAGAATCCATCATCTTTGACCCTGTCAATTGGTGCTTCACCACCTAGGAAGAGGCACGTGCTATCTCCGCTTGGCTCTCTCTCTCTCTCTCCAACTAGGAATCAACAGAAATCTCTCCCTCATTTCTTTTCCTTTGTGCTTCCTCATCTATTCAGTTTTACCAAGCTTCATGCCAAGGTGGAATAGTACCAGATATTGGTGGACTACCTAATGACAGTATGAAGTCAGAGAATTTTTGTTATGTTTCCTAATTAAGGATCAAGTCACCGGACAGTTAACAACTAAGTCGTCTTCTAGTAAAGGGTTAACACCTTTGTTCTTATTGCGAGAGCGACGTATTTTGTGAAAATAAATTACAGTTCATCAAAGGGAGCGTTAGAGAGCTCCAATTTCGTAGTTTAAAATAATATCTTGATTTGTTTTTATTAATATCAAGCATAACTTTTTATATAAAAATTATAATTCTTATTTAGAAATGTTAATTTAATTTGAAATCTAAATCTAATTAGAAATACTCTATTAAAATATTAGAAATCCTACATTATTTAGGAATCAAATATTAATGGAAAATATATATTATTTAATAATTTAATATTAATTAGAATTCCGACTATTTAGTAATTTAATACTAATTAGAATTCTAATTATTTAGAAATTTAATACTAATTAGAATTGTATATTTAATTGAACGCCAATTTCTTATTATTGCTGCGGTTTTCATATTTGCATTCATAACAATTTTCTTCAATAAAAAACCGATTCCCAAGAGCACAATTTTCTTAGACATACAAGAAACATGAACAATTAACTGAAGAACTAAAAATCTCAAGATCTAATACATGTCACTGAATAGAAAACAAGATGTTTGCTTGGAGAATCTATTCCTTTTATAAGCTCCACAAATGATTAGATTTTTCGGAAAAGAACTCAACTTCTTTGTTGATTGCAATTCCATTGAGTAAAGCTACTGACTGAAAAAGTATAGCTACTTTCTCTTCTTCCTGAGCCTGTTTAACATAAGGATAAAAACCACTTTTATCACTTTTATTTTTCTCAACATACAAAATGCAAGTGATCAACTTAAAAGGATCTGCAAGCACAAGAAACAATGGGATGAGAAAAGCAATTACAAGCACGAGATCTACTAAGTACTTATATTCTTGCACACTGCACATTGGTGTCCCATATCTGAGCTTGACAGGTCTGCAATCAAGCACCGAAATTGACACTAATGGTTGATCATGCACTGGCTGGAACTCTTGTCAATGAATTGCAGGAGCAGGCATGGTGGTTTCCCAACATCTCTATGTCGTTGATTGTGGTACTTGAAGAGATGATCTTAAGACATCTGGATACAACGTTGTTCACCTGGAGGTAGATTGAGAAATCTCCTATGTTTTGCATTGTAGCTGTTGTTGCATGCTTTCTCTCTCCCTCCTTGAGTTTTGGGTTTTGTTCACTTTAAAATTGAAATGCGTGAAGGCTGCTTCGGGCTCACAGCAGCAGCTTTGCAACTTCTCCTAAATAATGTATCACCTTATTAAATATTTTTAAACAGGGGGATGAGGTATTAAGAGATGAGGGGTGTTTGAGTTGGAGATGGAGAAATTGGGTTTAAAACAGGGTTTTGTTGGATTTTAGATTGGAGAGAGGAAAGGCCAAGTGGAGATAGCATGTGTTGGTGCGGGTTTGAGTCAAGAGGATGTTCTTGTGGAGGTGGAGCAACAACTGATGGTGGAGAAGATGATTGGTTTCCAGCTTGTCACGCAGCTGCCATATCATAATTTTTTAATAACTTGGCTTATGGCAGTCTCTCTTAAACTTACTAGATCATGTAGATGGAATAACTTGGAAGGAAAATAAAAAGTTGAGCACCTGATTTTAAGATTTAAATGGTCAGGGACCAATCTAAAAATCAGATCAAAGATGAAGAACTAAATATGGAATTAATCCACTTATTTATTTTGGTGTTCATTTACAGACTGGAACTAATGTAAAAGCTCACTTCTTTTTTAGGCTTTATGCCGGGGGTATCCCACAGAATTTGCATCCTACTTCCATTACTGCCGGTCATTAAGATTTGATGATAAACCAGATTATGCTTATCTGAAACGACTATTCCGTGACCTTTTTATTCATGAAGGTTTGGCTTAATTCCTTGTTTTTTTTGGGAAGAGTAATATTGTATTGATGCAAGGATCTATTGTCTGCATAATATGAGCTCGTCTACTAATCCATACGTTTTAACCATTTCAATTTTATATTTTTTCGTCTCACTTCAGGTTTCCAGTTTGATTATGTGTTTGACTGGACAATTTTGAAATATCAGCAGTCACAGATTGCCACTCCTCCTCCCCGTCCACATGTAAGTGATGTAGCGTGAATAGTTAAACCTTAATTTGGATCTAGCTCCATATTATTCACTCTGCTAAACAATTGTTCTACTTTTTTCCTATTGTTACAGGGTCCTGGTATTGGGCCAAGCTCTGCCATGCCACCTGCTATAGTTAATCCTGATAGACAATCAGGTAGCTTATTGCATTTCTAGTAGTTTATTTCCCCCTTGTTTACCCATATGTTTGTGCATCAACCTTCTTAGCCTAGTGTGTTATGTGGCTATTTTTGTTTGCTTTGTTTACCGTTAGCCTGCTGAATTTTCCTGGGGATGGCATAGACTGTAAAACAGTGATCAAGTAACTATAGTAGTAGTAGTAGTAGTAAAAATTATAACAATAATAAAGATTAACTGCTTGGTATTAACACCCCCCTCTCTCTGAAAATTCTATCAAACTCTTGGTGCATCGTATTTGCATATATAAATTTTTTTTAAGTGTTTACAGATGTATTTATCACTCCAAGAGAAATGTGTGATAGAGTGTTTCTTTTCCCTTATTTTA